GGTTTTCTGTCAAAGGAGTTACTTCAACAAGAAGCTTTATGTTGAAGGCAGAAGTGAAGTGAAGCAAAGAATAAGTTGGGAAAGACATTAGGGCAAATATAAATATGTAGCTTTATGGAGGAACAAAGTAAAATAAGGCTTGGAACTTAAAATAGTGGCTAAAAATTATGTGGAAGATGTTCGTTAGGACAAGAATGGTGGGGTTTGTAGTTTATTCTAATTACAAAATTAAGTACTAAGGGAAACAAAATGTAAAGCTCTCAACCAAGGAATAAAATAGGGATAAAAGATCCAAATTGAGCCTAAAACCCCATACAACCACTTATCTTTTGTCTGAAGACTGGTGTGCCTGTTTTGTTTTTCTAGATACATCTAAATGGGACAGATACATCTTTCTCTCTAGAAGACTTATTTCAGCTGCTTTCTTCACAACCTGAATATTCTCTAGAGGTAATTGTAATCTTGATTTTTTAAGTTCCATCCTTTTACTTGGATGACATAGTAGTTTGTCAAACTTGTGAATTAAGCACAGAGAACTTTATACTTCACAGAAATCAATTAGCACATTCATATTAAAAGCTACATGGTAGTTTATACTTATGCTTTAGTAGAATCTTTTAACATTATCCCTGTATTATTAATGTGGATTGGTGATAGCTAAGAAAAGTTCTTTTGTTAGTATTGTCAAGTTATTAGGTAATAGAACTCTTTTTTAAAGTGCCATCTTTCCATTATTTTTCAGAACATCTCAGAAGATTTTCCACCTCTTCTAGGGAGTACCAGTGATGGCATAAATTCTTTAGCACACTACAATGTGAATTTTACCCAGGCTATAAGTCATGATGTCAATCTCCATGAGGCCATGTTGCTGTATCCCAACACCACATTTAGAAGAGAGCCCGTAGCAAGGACTTCACAGGCACAGGAACAATTTTTGCAGCTGAATTTTCATTCCAATCCTGAGCAAACCCTTCCAGGAACTAATATAACAGGATTTGTTCCACCTGTTGACAATCAGATGTGGAATCTAACAAGCCAAGACCTCCTGTATGACCTTGATGCAAATATACTTGATGAGATAAACTTATTGTCATTAGTCACAGAAGAAAATTTTGATCCCATGGAAGTCTCTCAGCTTTTTGAAGAACCAGACTCATTGAATTCAAGTCACCATTGCAATTTTTCTCTCTCGGTGTGTGATGAAGAAGGTGCTATAGGTTATAGTAGTGACCCTGTTTCTCCTCATTATGACTTAGAAGGGGCTGTAGGAGGCTACTACCCAGAATCCAGTAAACTGTGCCACATGCATCAGAGGAATGAATCTGGTTTTCATGGGGATCTCACATTTCACATATTTCATGACCACACTTACCATACAAAGCCAGATGAACTAGAACCCACTTCTGAATCGCTTTCATGGCCTGGGAAATCACAGAAAGTGAGTAGGTACCTCAATGATACACATAGAAATCTAAGCCGTGATGAACAACGGGCTGAAGCTCTGCATATCCCTTTTTCAGTAGATGAAATTGTCCGTATGCCTGTTGACTCTTTCAACAGCATGTTAAGCAGGTATTATCTGACAGACTTACAAGTCTCGCTGATTCGTGATATCAGACGAAGAGGGAAGAACAAAGTAGCTGCCCAGAACTGTCGTAAACGCAAATTAGACATGATTTTGAATCTAGAAGACGAAGTGTGCAATTTGCAAGCAAAGAAAGAGACCCTTAAAAGAGAACAAGCCCAATGTAACAAATCAATTACCATAATGAAACAAAAACTGCATGACCTCTGTCATGATGTTTTTAGTAGGTTAAAAGATAGTGAGGGTAGGCCTGTTGATCCAAACCTGTATGCACTTCAGTGCAATCATGATGGAACTGTTTTGATTGTGCCCAAAGAACTGGTGACCTCAGGCCACAAAAAGGAAGGCCAAAAGGGAAAAAGGAAAAAGTGAGAAGAAATTGAAGATGGATTCATTTTAATATTCAGAAAGATTAGTTGGGTCACAGACCATCGAAACAGCTTAAATTTAGTTCTAACTTTGGGATTTTATTCAAGTGTAAGTATGTCTTAACTGAGTCTTTACTGCAACTTGAATCACTCAGTTAAGGCAATATATATATTGATGTTTGTATCAATACATGTTTTTAAGATCACACTTCAGGGAAAAGGTGGGGAGCCACGGACATAAGTACAAAGCAGCCTTAACATTGTTTGGTACTGTAGTAAGCTTTTAATTTGTATATTTAACTTATACTTTTTTGTGAAAATAAACTTTATATTTGAATTCATATAAAAACAAAGACCTACCTCTTAAAAATTTGTTGATGGACCTTTGTTTGTGGTGTTGAACCCAGTGCCTCACACATGCTAGGCAAGTACACTACCACTGAACCACAACCCCAGCCCCTAAAAGACCCACATTTTCAAATGCTGGTGAGCAAACTATAAAGGCATAGTAGGATAACAAATATGGGAAATCTCCTTCCTAGCTAAAAAACCACCTCTCCAACAATGAGCAAGAAGGCCTTGGCTACTAAACGCAGAGTACCTAGCAGTAAAAAAGCCAGATGACCACACTAACATGATTTTACCAGTTAAATCTCCTGCATTGTGCTTGAGATGATTATTTTGCCCAGAAAATGTCAAAAGTAATCTATGCACAATATTTTTAAAACTGCCTGAAAGATCCTTTGATAAGTTTCATACTCTAAACTGCTAGGCATCAGTTTAATGACTGTATTTGTCAAGGATGAGTTTTGATAGGTCAGGTTACACCTAAGCATCCTGGATTTGGGGCATGTGAATGTTTACTATTAATGATGCAGAGATCTCATTCTTGTCTTACAATAGAACCAACAAAGTTGTTGCTAGCCTGACTCTTCCCATTACCTCTTTAGTTTTGCCCAGCAGACTTCAAAAAGAAACCAATGTGCAGATAGCCCCCGTGATGTCCATGTCAGGTATTCTCTAATGTACTTTAATTCCAGCTCATGTGAATTGACCCATATCTGTTAGATTTACCATTTTGTATTAAGCGACCACACAGTGATTTTTTTTCCCAAAAATCTCCACAATACATCCGGCAGTGACTCACCAGGATTGACAAATAACTTTATGCTCTCCTTGTTAAGTGTATGCTGATTGAGGACAGTTGGTCCCAACATCCGCTCATTCTGTACTGACCTTCAAAGCATGCTTATGAGGTCTTGAGATTTTCACAAGCCTAATTCTCTTCCCCAATCTACCTACCATCAAAGAATGTTTTTTTTTTTTTTTGCTGCTGGCCTCCTCAGGAAGAAAAATGCTCAATAGCCAAGTGTTGGCATTAAGACAATCAAGGATCAAGGTACTTGAAGTTCTGAATCTTGACTTGAAAGTATATGTACATGCAGGATTGTTACATGAGAAATGTTAATTACTACAGATAGTAATGCATACAACTATTAAAATCTTAATTACCTCCTAAATCCTCTTAAGACTTGTAAAAGCTTTCCCAGTGTGGCAAGGCACTGTGTCAAGCCTAAAAAGGTAGTTCCCAGTGATGTTTGTTATTGATAGTTATGTCAGTGGCACCCCATCAAATTGTGGGAATCAACATACTTGGCTGTGTCTTGTGGATTTTCCTTGCTCCTCAATCTCAGGAAAAACATATGTTGCATGATCGTTCAGTCCTTAAGAGGCTCTTATGGATGTGAAATGTCCAGTTATAGCCAAATTTTCTGATTGTTTCCTTGAGTTTAAGCCATAACCACACTTAAGATGCTCCCCACCACAGATAAAGCACAAATTGTCCAAGTACAGAAGTGATTGCAATGATAAAGTTTATGCCTAAGACAAACATGCCACCAACCCCCTTAGAGCAATTTCCTTCTTTTTAAGACACATCTAGGATTACGAGAAGCTACCTGGTTTATTTCTGAAATATACAAGCGTATAGAAAAATTGTCATTATCTGGGTAAACCGTTATTTTCATGTGCCAGTTCATCTTCCCCATTATATTTCCCTTGACTTTGGTTAGAATTGGTACTGAGGTTGTGTGTTTAACTTGTTTGTAGTCACTTTTTAAACCTCTGAAATTTGTCCTTAAAAACTGAAGGCTAGTATTCAGACAAGCTCATAGTTGATGACAGGATAAAGGCAAAGTATTTCAAATGAGACATGAGAGCTGGTAATATGAGCTAGTCATTAATCTGACTTACCTGTTAGACACCTATTATCAAAAGCAAAAGAAATTAATCAGACCAAGTCAACTTTGTATGCCCTTTTCTGGTTTCTTCAATGCATTCAGGTAAAGATGTCCATATTAAGTTCCCATTATGAAATTGACCCACAAAGCTACATTTTTCAAAGACCATCACTATTCATTTACAAGCATAGATTTCAATATGACCCTTAGTTGACAAAACACTACAGCATGCCAGGTTTTTGTCTTGGTGCCTTTCACAAGCCAATACACCACTTGAGCTGGTTCAAAAACATGGTTTTAAAACACCAACAATGTTCGACAGAGGAAAACTGTAGCAGTATTCAAACGCTGAATGTATAGTGCATGAAGAATAGCATTTTATTAGGGACAGCCAATAATGTCCACAATGCTTTTCTCGTTTGTCTAATATTCAAAGAAAAATGGCAATATGCATAAATCTGAAAACTGCTTTTAAAAAAATAGGGGATGGAAATCTTGTAGACAACGGAATGTTGAAGAACAAGATTCACACATTTTATGTGTAAACATTACACCAAGTATTTGGATACAAAAGTATTTATTTTTATAAATTTTGTATTTAAAATAGAACTTTATATCTGTCTACTCACAAAACCTAATTTAAAACATGATACATTTATCTCTCTAGCTTATTTTGTTATTTTACAAACAACACTCATTTTGTAATTATTTTATCAAGAACCTGTACTAAATATTTGTTTTTATCAGAAAACATTTCCCTTTTATGTTAAAGAGTGCTTCTTAAATGAAGGCACCAACAAGAACTACTTTCAGATGGTACAGTATTTCTTATTTCTTGAAGACTCTGTGGTTGACCACTTCTTCATTAGTTACCTGCAGCAAGACACCTTCCTGCCAAAGGAAAAAAAAAGTATCTGAAGAAGTTTATCATGTTTGTCCAAAGAACCTAAATAACTTCAGTGGTGGTCTTAGGATCAAAGAAGACTCACTGATGCATACAGAATAAGCCCTGAATATCACATTCCTGAAAAGGCAGTAAAGCCAGGAAATCAATCTGAGTAATAGTTTTAGGAAATGAATTTCAGCAGTCAACCTACAGCTGTTTAGGATAGGACATGGGGTAAAAATTACATTTTAACCCAACTATCAGTAATGGGTACATAACAAGATTCATAATGTAGAGAGACATTTTACTTGTATGAGGTATTATCTGGAAAAAATCCAACTATTTTGTCCTACCTTCTGTCAGCCTCATCATCAAGAGTATGTAAAGTTAGAACCATAAATGTCTATTTTATTTAAAAAATCCTAGGTTCACTCAAAATGCCTGCTCCAAGAAATGTGAATACACAAGGGTGCAACGATGGGAAATCTCATGATTTATTGAACTTGCAGCCTAACTTTTACCTACCATTTTACTACCAACACCACTGAAGGAACCAAGAAAAGGTTTATTAATGATCACTTGGCTTGCCTCAGCTGTTGAAATGAAGCACTTTACAGTCTTTGTGGCAGCAGAATATACTTGTCCATGGTTCATATCAATGCTAAATTCCAGCAGGGAAAAAAATGATATGTTAAGCACCTGAATCTTCATGGAAAGGGAGGGGGTGGGAAAGAAGGAAAAAAGGGAAAAACAACCAAAATAATTTAAGTAAATGACAGATTGGAAAACAGGGTTTATAAAAATTATTCTCTTTTGAGTTTATATATTGTTAAACTCAATTTGTAGCTATGTTAAACTACATAAGAACCACTATACTGTAAGACCATTGAAGAGTTATTAGTTTATCTTTTAGGGAGGAAAATTAAGAAAGGAAAAGTAAATAAGATCTTACCTAAAGAAGTTTAACTGAAGCTTAGAACTATTTTGCTCTACACCCTCAGCTTTCGTTGGCATCCTTATAAACTACTGTAGTTAAAACTTTGTAGAAAACAGCACAGTTTTTTAAGACTGGCTGAACTTAGTAGCCGTCAAGAGTTCTCTTGTACTAGACCTGTGTCCCTGAAGAGTACCTCGCTGGGTTATTTCCTTTCCTTGCATTGAAGAAGCAGCATCTAAAAGATCTAAAAAGGTGTTTCTCCTTGCAGAGATATCCCTTAAGTTATCTAGATAATTTAATCCTGATGAATTGCAGACAACACACTTACATCTGACCACAATTTATCTTATACAATATAACAACAGCTTTGCAATGGACCTTAATTATACTACCCACTCCTTAACTTATTTAAAATAAAAAGTCTATAATTACACAATTTCCTTTAGAATTATTTTATTAAATCATAAATGTACAACAGCTTCTTAACTCTACACACGCACTTAAATTTTTTAAAGGAAAAACGTTATGTCTTATTACACCATGATCCTGGCTAATAGCTTTTCAAAACTTTGAGAAAAATCTTAAAAAAGGTTTCACATGTCACCTGAAACTTACAAATTTAACATTATCAAAGAAGGAATGCTTCTACACTCTTACAAAGACCACTAGAAAGAAACAACAATTAAAAAGCTAAGAAACTGTCTCAAAGGCATTTTTTTTTTTTACAATCCTTCCTCCACAGTAAGGTAATGTTATTAAATAATCCAATCCATTCCCAAAATGGCTCTCTGCATCTGCTCTGGTGTCTTCTGCCATATCACTGCATATTTATGCATGACTGAGATAAGAGTTTCCTTAACATTGTTATTTCGATAACCTGAAGCTGTTCTGTTACCTCTGGGCTCTCATCCTCTCCTATTTATACAGTGAAGCCTGTTTCAACAGAAGTAAAGAGTAAAAAAAAATAGGTTATGAAATTATCCATCTAACCAGATTTTAAGGAAAGATTAACATGATCCTAAAAAGCTTTTTACTCCTGCAGCTACGTCTCCCAAGACAATAATAATTGTAAAACTCAAAAACTACTTACCCAAGGCAAATAGGATGAAGCTCAGTATCGGCTCCTCCCACCATAACCCCCACTTCCTCCACTTCCTCCAGGACCATAATTTCCTAGAACAGTTAAAAGAGCAAAAAAGAAAGCATACTGTCATTTCCCGTCCCAAATCAAGTTTTTACTTTATAAACAATATAATCTGATATGTTCAGTTAACTTGATTACCTGGATAATGAAATATCTGGATTCATGAATATTTTAACTTTGTTCTTAAAACTTGGAAACACTATTGATGCTATAGTTTTACAAGAGGCTCCCCATCACCATTTGCTATTAAGAGATTTTAGAAGAATGTATCAACCAAGAGGCTGAAGAATCCTTTCCTACTAAAAGCTTTCTCAAGCCAAGTATCAGCTTGAATAAAGGCAGTCATTTAATACAGATTCATATCATGTTCTATGTATAACAATTTGACTTAACTATCTCCTTAAAGAAATATAGGGCCCCACCTAATATCTACTTTGCTAATCCCCAAATATCTTATACAGTAAGAGCATTCCACCTTGCCACACCAATCTCTAATCTGACATTAAAATCATTGTCAGAATCTTTGCAGATTTTATTTCGGTGACACCACATATGGGAGCATTACCACATACTTATTTCCCCTTATAAATTATGAAGGACCAAACCTATAATCACTAAATTCCTAAGAACCTCAATTTGTCTTTGTATATTACCTCCACCATATGGTCCCCCCATGTTCCTGCTACCACCAAAGTTTCCACTCTTCATTGGACCATAGTTAGAAGGTTGCTGGTTATAATTTCCAAAATCATTATAACTTCCACTTCCATAATTTCCTATAATAGAAATGTAGTATCAGTATAACAGACCTCAGAATATACCCAAACATCAAACCAATGACAGAGCCAAGTATTTAGGACACTCCCACAAAAATAGAACCTTCTAATCCAAAATTTTTTTAAAAGGCACTTAGTGATGGTCAAACAAGCAAAAATCGTCAAATAATTCAAACCCAAATTCCCAGATAAATGTTTCAGGGGTGGGAGGTGCTACGGATGTAGCTTGGCAGCAGTGTTTTGCCCACCATGCCCAAAGCCCCAGTTTCATCTCCAGCACCCACCTCTCCACACAACCCCCCCCAACAAAAAAAACTCAAGATGAAATTACCTCCTCCATAGTTGTCATAACCACCTCCATAGCCCCCACCCTGGTTTCCATATCCAGGTCCTCCACCACCATAGCCTCCTCTTCCTCCTCCATAACCAGGGCTACCTCCAAAATTGCCACCTAGTATAAAATAAACCTTTAATTACACATGTTTTCTATGCCACTTTATCATATTGAACCCATTTACAATTTCTCAAAGCACATACTTTTTATGAAACGGAATGTTTGTATATAGTAATCTCTTCCAGAATAACCTTAAAGACAGAAATACCTATCTTGTCCTGGGAAACATTTTGGAGTCTAGGATGCTTACATAACAGCATAAAACCATTTATACTTAATGACTGTGATGACACCACTCCAGAACTAAAGGTATTGTATTAAGGGTCCCTTTTTGATGGCTTCTTGAAATACTACATGTATTTTGGGTCAAGATTATGGGAGCAGCCACTGGCACAGTTACTATAAAGAGCCACACCCATTCAACTTGCCCCAAAGATAAACTTCCCAATTCATGTTTCTGTGAACTGCAAAGTTTTTCTTATGCAACTGTTAATTATCTTCTCATGACTAGTAGTAAACTGATAAGCTTTCTTATAGTTTAAAACTTCTCAAAGCCTGGTACACTAAGCCTCAAATTGCTTGCAGAAAGAACAAGAACTCTGCTTTGTCCAATTAAAATTTGAGTTCTGAAGCAAGGTTTTTACAGTGAAAATACAGGAGTTATTTACTCATGCCCAATAAGGAGCAAAATCGAGTCTATTAGTAACTCATGGTTTTAAAGGTCTCTTGTATTAGTTAAGTCTGTCTGGAACCGTCAACCTTTTCTGTATTTTAACCAAAGGAATACTAATGTTATCTTAGGACATCCATCATCTAGTTGAGGACTAAGACAATCCAACTGCTCTTAGATACGGGTCTCCCTTATACCCTGATCTCAGATAAATCTAGTATCCTACATGTTTGCAGAAAAGCAAAAATACAAAATATCACATCTAGCTCCAATTCTTTTTTCAAGAAATGAAATTACATGACATCTTCCATTTATGATTTTGCACTCTGTCAATAACTCTAAGAATGTACTAAATTATAATGACTAAGACACAGCTTATTTTACAAAAGCCTAAGTCCTTTGAAGTATAAAACACCAAACATACAATGTGATTGTTACCACATAAATCAACATGTACAAGAAACTTACCTCCAGGTCCTCCTCCATATCCATTATAGCCATCCCCAAATCCACGTCCGCTTCCATATCCATCTGTCAGGAATTAAAAAAAAATGATTTAAGCTAGTTAATCCTATTCATCTTAAATATTCTTTCCCCACTTTCTTGAAATAACCTGGGACAATAATGAAACACAATAGCGTAACTGTTGATCTATAAAAATTCATACACAGAAGTGCATAATTAACAATTTTCCACAGTAACTAACCTTTAGACTTGGACTTAAGCACTAAATTAAGATTCTATTCATTTATACAATGGAAGGAGCCAGCGCTTTTTTGAAACCTTAGTACAGAAATTCTGGTAATCTTTGGGACAAATTTTTAACTTAGGTTGTAATTCTTACCAAACCTAATCATACTTTTTTCTGAAATCAAGCATATTTTACCCTTCAATCTTTCGTAACTTGGAACTTACCAGATCCTCCTCTAAAGTTACTTCCTGGTCCTGGTCCAAAATTTCCACCGCCACCACGGGAGTCCCCAAAACCAAAGTTGCCTATAATAGAACCTCTGATTAATAGCAAGCACTCAAATAAATAAAAAGGGAAAGGGAGGGTGGATAAAAATGTTACCTCCTCTTCCACTCCTGGAACTTTGGACTTCTTGCATTTCTTGTCTAGACAAAGCCTTTCTTACTTCTGCATTATGACCATTGATGGTGTGGTATTTTTGCACTGGAATAAATGATTCAGACTCCAATAAATGATCACACTTTAATATTGAATAACTTTAAATTTACCTAATATATGTGTTCACATACCCCAAATCTAGTCCACACACCTAGTGCTTACAGACACTTACACACAATTTTGTCCACAGGATCATGGTCATCAAAAGTAACAAAACCAAAGCCTCTTTTCTTTCCAGACTGCCTATCGGTAATTATCTCAATGGTGTCAATTTTCCCATATTCTTCAAAGTAATCTCTAAGGTGGTGTTCCTCAGTATCTTCTTTAATTCCGCCAACAAACAGCTTCTTCACAGTCACATGAGCTCCTGGTTTTCCAGATTCCTACAACAGTGGGGGAGAAAAGTTATCTTGACAGAAGAAACCAGACATGATCAAAAGTACACCATTTGGGGGCTGTTAGTTCAGCTCAGTGGTAGAGCACTTGCCTAGCATGTGTGAGGCACTGGGTTTGATCCTCAGCACCACATAAATAAAAATAAAGGTCCATCAATAAATAAAAAAACTTTTTTTCAAGTACACCATCTTTGTATCTTACAATTCAACTTTTGAAAAATAAGCAGGGAGGGATATCTGTACATTTAAGTAAGTTTTAGTAAAGTCATTCAATTAGTAATTTTTAAAAAAAATTGCATTCTGATCATTAGGAATTTTTTCCATGTTATTGCAGAAGTTATATTTAGCTTACCTCTCTTGCTACAGCTCGTTTTGGCTCAACCACTCTCCCATCAATTGAATGAGGTCTTGCAGCCATGGCAGCATCAACCTCAGCCATGGATGAGAAAGTTACAAAACCAAAGCCTCTTGATCTTTTGCTTGCAGGATCCCTCATAACCTTTAAGACCAAAAGGAAACTTTAGCATTTAAACTAGCAACAAATTAGAGCTTTTACTGTGAATACTGAGTTGAATACTTTCTGCATGAGTCACATTTTAATCACAATTCCAAGAGATAAAGGGCTAGTGTCTGCAGCCAACTTTCCACAGTTAACCTACCACACAATCTGTAAGTTTTCCCCATTGCTCGTAGTAGTTTCTTAAACTTTCTTCTGTGGTTTCAAAACTTAAGCCACCAATAAAGAGTTTACGGAACTGTTCCTTTTCTCTCTGCAAAGGAAAACACCATTTCAATTTTTATTTACATTTTCTCTTTGTATGCAGGAAATTAAATTCTTAAATATGAGGTGACCTGCTGGCAGAGTACCTTTTTCCTCTCCAAAGGAACAGTTTCTAAAGTTTTCTGGGGGGGAAAAAAAAAACTTACATCAAATTTAAACCATATGTTAAACTGCATATTAGTGTGTTACACCAAAAAAGTTTCAGCTGAATTATACAAGTTTCAATGTCACTAAAGCTTGATTTAAATTTACTTCACATTAAATTATCTTAACCCAATTAAATATCACGTAAATTTTTACAACTTTCTGAGGAGAAACAATCTATTCCACGGTCACTGGAGGGTTATTAATAAATTCTTAAGATTTTCATTCGATTCTATATCCTAAAACTACCGTTCACTTTACTCAACCTAGAATTTTTCATATAAAGCCAAAGCTTACCAACTTATTTCAGGATTCAATACCCAAGAAGCAACATTCCCTTAACTGCTCCCTCTAGTGGTGACTACAAGTATCTCAACCTAATGAAACCACTGAAGCAAGTTTCTCCATGTAACTTTTAGAAAAAAAATTAATATTCAAAATGTACATAACCTCTCATAATCAGGCAAATTGTTTTGACCAATACCATTTTTAAAAATGTCTTTTTTTTTTTTTTTGTGGTGCTGGGGATTGAACCCAGGGCCTTGTGCATGAAAGGTAAGCACTCTACCAACTGAGCTATGTCCCCAGCCCGAAAAAAATGTCTTTAAAAAAGTTTAAAATGCTGGTTTTTTGGCGGGCACTCCATTAATTTGGTTACTTGAGTGACAGTACAATGTCAGCAAATAAACAAAAAAACACATTAATAGATCTCATATTTCAAAAATTATAGTTTCATATTATAACACCATCACTTACTTGCTCAATTAAAGCAGTTCAGGCTCACCAAACTTAGCATCCATCTGACTGACTACAACTCTTATTAAACAGTACAAAAACATAATACTGGGCTGAAATCTTTTAGTACCCTCAAACCAGCAAGAAATATACTGGATTAAACAATCCTTAATTTTGGGCAATTACTAAGGGTGACTACTAAAACTGGGCTCATGCAAGATACATTAAAAGGTCAAATATGAGTACTACTAAAGCAGCACTACTGCTCTCCACACCATTCTATGGAGGTTCTGGCTCCATGAAGTATCCCACCTGCATATAAAATGATTAAAGGTTCACTTAGACTTTTTTTCTTTGCTTAGTTTTGAGGATTCTGAACTTTTAAAAATAACAAGTTATCAAACTAGTTCTCTTAAAATTTTCAGTTTCAAAACAATGGCTATTCAGCAAGACAGTTTCCACCTAACTGCATTTACTGTTACGTGTTGTTAGATCACTAAATCCATAAAGTATATCTACAATTCTTACGTATCACTACAAAAAGCAAAAACTCTTTACTTACCTCAGTTTTTTCCAAACTTACCCGAAGTCGACTATCGATTATAAACAGTTATTTTATAAATGTACTTAGGGTCAAAGAAAATAATCAGGAAGACCCCCTTCGCTTGAAACTTATGCTTATCAATGTAATGACCAACCATGATTGCAAACAAATGAGAAAAGCAAGTGACAAAGTTCAAACACACAGTGGTCCATGCCTAAAACAGTAATTCACATTGCAATACACGCCTTATGAAGGACCGAGCCATGTTGTAATCTAAGTACAACTAGAATAAAACACGTTTTTGCTTCACTTTCTTCATAACTTCTGGCATATGTTGTAAGTAAGGACCGGTAGTTTTATCCAGTAAGGTTCAAGCTTCCCAGTAAAAATATTTAAAATACAAATAAATTCCATCATTCAAGCAGAACACTTCAGGACAGTAAAAAGACTCTTTATGAATACCCCTCCCCCTCAATGACCCTCCTCGTTGCTACACTCACTCTCGGTACTGAGGGCTCCAATTTTTTTTTCACTTCCAATTTGCTACAATTCGACTGCTCTTAATCAAAGCATACCCAGATAAAACCATTCGTCTTAAAATATCAAGGCCTGGAAAAGTGGTTTCTTTGTAAAAAGCTCGCGGAAACAGCGCCCAACGCCCTAGGTGGAGATACCTTCTCTGAGCCCGCGCCAACAAGCCCTGCGGAACCCCCCCCCTTCTGTGTGGCTTCTGAACGCAATGGCGCCATTTCATCGAGGGGAAGGCAGAGCGCCTTAAACGAGGTGCGCAGGACGCTAAAGATCCAAGCTCACAAAGCACTCCAAATCCACCTCGGAACGATATGAAAACAGCCCGAGAAGAAAGAAAAATAGTTAGCTACTTCTATGCTTTGATAAAAGAATTAAACTAGTAAAATTCAGGGAGTTATAAGAAAATCGCTGCGAAGAAGGAAAGACAGGAAAATGGCGGCCGCCAAATCCGGTTCCCGGGAGAGGGGGGGAGGGTAAGCTCCGCAGACTCGCTCACGAGGGCCCGATGCCCGCCGAAACGCTGAAACACGTAAAAGCCCGGTTCCCAAATCAGCGGGCCTTAAAAAAGGAGTGCTATTCCCCGCTTCCACTAAAAAACGGCCGCGGCCGCCATGTGGAAGTTCCCCATCCCCCACCCCAGTAGAGGGAAATGGCGCCGGGAGGCTGAGGGTGGGGAAGGTGTTTGTACCGATCAGGCCTCCGCTTTCGACCCCTCTCGCAAACACCAAAAGGCCAAGCGCTACTGAAGCGGCCCGGTTTCCTGCCACTCTCCCATGGAGGCGGCGGGCCGACTTCCACTGCGGCGCCAACGGCCTCACCATGCCCTTTCCAATAACTCATTGATTTCAAACCCGTTACCTCCATCGCGGACTCAGTCGCTTCAGCCCGATTTCCCGCAGCCGAGCGAGATGAGAGAGATCTCCGCGGACGAACACGAACCGGACTCGTCCTGGCGCTGTAGTGAGAACTGCCGCTGCTCGAGAAACAACACCGCTAAGAGCACCTCCACTCGGGACCGGCGCTGCTGCTACTGCCGCTAGAGCCGCTGCCGCCGCTTTTCTAGAACCTTCCCCCCCCCACTAACGCGTCCTCCCCTACGTCAGGCCGTTACGTAAACGCCTTAACCGCCGCCAATGGCGGGAATGCGCTACGCCCTCCTTACGCCGAGTACGTGCTCCTCCCCCCAACTCTGCGGATAGCAATAATGCTTTACGTCACTTGCGTAAATTGATTCAGTGAATTGCGGAAGGCTCGAGTCCTTCGTGTTAATCCTCTCGGAATTAAGTCCAGCCCCCGCCTTAGCGCAGGGCAGGTGAGAAACGGTCGCGCAGTTTGAAATTAACGCTGTCGGGAGGAGCTTAATCGGCCGCTCAGGTCCGGCCCCCTGATCCCACGCGTTCCCCTTGCAGCTACACCTTTGATAATCTTATCCCCCTTGGTTCTCCCGCCCAAAAACCCTGTAGCAAACCTTCGTTTTCCCTCCCCCAGCATATGGTAACTGACTCGGCCCCTTCCGGAAACACCCGAGGAGACCTCTAGTCAACAACCGAACCCTGGCCAATGCCTTTGGGGCTGACCACTCGGGTTCAGGAGAGTCTTTTCCAGAGGGGGATCCGAGAGCGACACTCGTCCTTAGCTCCCTATTCCCCCCTCTGCATTGGAGGCACCCTCTCCGAGGGGTGAGGAAGTAGGCGGAGTCCGGTTTTGGCGGCACCCGCAGCTACTGCGACACAGAAAAGCCAACGAAAAAACTCTGGTCGCAGTCCTCGCCCCTCCCTCCCCACCCTCTTGGGACCCCCCCCCCCAGGCCCCAGCCGCGAACGGTAAGTGCCGGCGCCGCGGTCTTTTTCTTTCTCCCTTCCCCCCCTTGCATTGACCGGGGATTCCAGGCGGGCGCGGCGCCCCTTCCTCTGATCGCTCGGCCCCGCCCCTCGCGGCCGCTCAGCGTGGGCGGCGTCACACCCCCCCTCGCGCGCTTGGTGCCCCTGCCCCTCCCCCGTCTGATGTGACTCGAGCTTGAGGCGCGCAGGGCTGGAGACGCTGCAGATCCGCGACCTGGAGCATCGGAGGTGGTGATGTCGGTGGCTTGCTTTCTCTTCCCCCAATTCCGTGGTAGTGCTTAAAATAACCCATGCGCGCCCGGGACCCTCATTTCCCCGCTTCCCGACCCTCCCTGCTGTACTCCGTGTCCGGAGCTACGGGAAGGAGCGGAGGGGCGAGTGGAGGCCCTGCAGCTGGTCTGGCGCTGCACAGGCCGTTAGGTGGGGGGGACGACTGTGCTCTCCAGAGGGTTGAAACCTGTGGTGCCAGCCGCCTTATTTCTAGACAAAGCGCATGTCTTCCCCTCCCCCGTCTCCGATCAGGAAGAGAGGCCTCCCGCCTCGCTGCGCTGCTAGCGGAGTTGGGCCTCCTGGGAAGGCGGTGCATTTTCCTGCAGCGTCGAGGCCTGGCGCGCGCGTTCCCTGTCCCGAGGCCGCGGCGTCCACTCCGTTACGTGGCCGCCGCCCGAGGGGGTGGCGCGGGCCCTGTGGCGCAGTGCCCTTGAGCCCCCGCGCCGCGGCCTTTGTTTCTCCCCGCGGATCCGCTGACCACGAGGCCCGCGCTCCCGGGTGGGGGTGGGTGCCTGGTCTTTAGGCCTCCAGTTGAGGGATTAAGCTGCGAAAGACCCGGGGCTTAGGGAAGAGGATATATAGGGATGAGTGTCTAGTGTCACGAAATGGGTTGGGGCATGTGTTTTTCCTTTCCTTTGGTTATTCCTAACTCCCAGTTGAAAAGAAGGAGGTTTTCAGAATAGAAATCACCTGGAGTTATATATGTAGGAGACTGTTAAAGAGATTTTGAGAAAAGATTCATGGTAGTTGACCCTTGTGAATTTAGTAATCATGCCTGGTTTTGAACCAAAACGTTTGTTCTTTTTTAGGGGAAAAAAATGAAAATTGAATTTATTGTAAATGGGACCTAGTTGGGAAAGTATTTCTCCATTTTTGTCTAGGTAAAGCTACTTAAGATACCAGTTTTAACTGTTGTGCATTTTTCTAGTGTAGCTCTTCAAGTCTGCAATTTTAAAAAATGGCCTCCAATAAGACTACATTGGTAAGTTAATTAAAACCTAAGATATGTAAGGATCTAGTTCTAATTTTTTTCTCTAAAAATTATAACTTGCATCTCTGTGGTTGAGAAGTTTATGTACACACGTTTTTCCCAGTTCTCCCCAGTAGTCCAATAGGGGAGAACTGAGAACAAAAACGAATTTGTTAATGTTTGTTAATGTCTCCTTTGAATGTAAGTGTCAAGTAGAACACCTATAAGATGTAAATTGAGCAACGAATATATTTCTGGTAATTTAGGAATAATGTTTGAATTATATTCACAGAATTGAAATTTGGGGAGTTAATGAGTTAAAAAAACTGATCGAAAACAGGAGTTTTGCTGAGTGTTTTTATTTTGAAATAAAACTAATTAAAGAATGTTACATGCTTTCTTGTGTTTCATAACAGGCTGTGCAAAAGTGTAAGAACATGTCTATTTAGATGTGTTAATTATAACACATTGCATTAATAATAATCATAAGCGTACAAAGGTGAGTTAACATTTTAAGTAAAGCAAAACATCTGGTTTTAATCTGTGTATTCTCCCCTTGGGTTTCACACTGAAAAGGCAAGTTTGTGATTTTTAATTTGTTCCTCGACCAGATGTAGTCAGATACTCTGGAAAATAGATTGAAAGATGTTATATGAAGCCTGTGATAGACTCTCATAAAAAGCACAATCTTTGCCTCTTAATTCCATAGTCTGTAAACCAAATGTAGGTGGTCAAATAGGCTTTTTATTCACCTGTACCCTTCCGTTATTGGATGGGAAAGGCATGAACTGTCAGTGAGGCTTTGAGGATGTATATGGAGAACAGAAAATCAATATACTGAGCAGGGCACAGTGGTGCACACCTATAATCCCAGCAACTAGGGAAGCTGAGGCAGGAGAATTGGAAGTTCAAAGCCAGCCTCAGCAGATTAGCAAGGCACTTAGCAACCCAGTGAGACCCTGTTTTATTATTAAAGGGCTGGGGCGTGGCTTGGTGGTTAAGTACTTCTGGGTTCAATCCCTGGTACCAAAAAAAAAAAAAAAAATCAATACACTGATGTTCATTAAGGTGAAGTTTTTTTGCACAGTTTATTAGCCTTCGGTGTTTGTATTTATTGGTATTTTCTGGGTTTGTTTTTTTTTTAAGGACCAGATGAACCACTTAAGTTTTTAATCAATTTTGCCCCATTATCCCAGATGAAAAACACTTAAAAATACAAATTGAACGCTGGGCATGGTAGTGCATGCCTGTAATCCCAATGGCTTGGGAGGCTGAGGCAGGAAGATCACAGAAATCAGTGTATTCTAGGAGAGTCAAAACATTATCTAGGAGAAAGAGGTTCAAAACCTGCCTTTGCATCTTAGCAAGGTATTAAGCAATTTAGTGTCTTTAAATAAAATACAAAAAGGGGCTGAGGATGTGACTCACTGGTTAAGCACACCTGGGTTCAATCCTCAGTACACCGCCCCCCAGCCAATCAATCAATAAATAAATAAAACTAGAGCAATGAATATTAACAAATTTTAATGCACCAGTATTGATCTAATTTTTTTCATTTTAAAATAATTTCATTAGTGTTGTGGGAACTCTGTGTGTGTGTTTTAATAGCAGGAATGTATTTTGGCTCCAAAACCTACCCCATGCTTGGAAAAGACTGCTGGCTTAAGCCAACATATATTTTAAAAGAAAAAAAAAATGGAACACTGTTATGTAGATTGTCCTGCTAGTAATAAATAAAGCATTTTGCCTGCTGGAGCTTTTTCTTTGTTTGATCCTTGTGTTTCCTTTTTGTTTTCTTTCTTTTTTTTTTTATGTTCTTTATTAGCCTTCTTCCTTCGTGGAGTAGCTGTTTTTTTTTTTCTTTTGTTGTTCTTCAGTTAGGATAGAAACTTTTTGCTGCAGTTTCTTTGATTATTAAAAATCATTAAAGGGGCTGGAGTTGTGGCTCAGAGGTAGAGCACTCGCCTACCATGCATGAGGCACTGGGTTCGATCCTCAGCACCACATAAAAATAAAGTAAAGATATTTAAAAAAAGAAAAATAAATAAAATAAAATAAAAATCATTAAAGAGGGCTGGAGTTGTAGCTCAGTGGTTGAAAGCTTGCCTTGCATGCGTGAGGCACTGGGTTCGATCCATGGCACCACATTAAAAAACAAAATCAAGATATTGTGTCCATTTACAGCTTTAAAAAAATTTTTTTAAGTCATTTAAGGTCTGACTTGGAAATAGAAACCTGTAAAATCAGATGTATGATTCCAGAGAATTTTTGTTTCTTACGTATACGTGTATATACCCTTATGCTTATAGCATGTTGTTTTAAAGTGAAAAGCATTTTGGCCTGTAAAAGTGACATTGATGTGTTTGTCCCAAAGGGTCAGGAAAATCAGTTCATTTTTTTTTTATGTTTTGAGATTTTAACATTGGTTTGAATTGGGAAAGGCATTGTGACTTAAGGCCCCCAGAGGTTCTGTTCTGTGTGTAAGATGTGTGTGTTGAATGTAGCAATATAAGCAGTATAGCCTTTAAAATGTATTCAAATTTTTTAATGTTTCTTTATTTCTCTTTTAGCAAAAAATGGGAAAGAAACAGAATGGAAAGAGTAAAAAAGTTGAAGAGGCAGAGCCTGAAGAATTTGTGGTAGAAAAAGTCCTAGACCGACGTGTAGTAAATGGAAAGGTGGAATACTTTCTGAAGTGGAAAGGATTTACAGAGTAAGAAACTTCTCTGCATTTTTTTTTTTTTTAATAACCTTTAATTACGGTCCTAAAAATTTGGTTTTGGCCTTACCTCACCAGTTTTACTATAGAAATCTTTAATTCTAGGCGTTATTCAAGGTATGTTTTTAAAAAGCCAAGATTTTAGCACTCAACTGAAAGAATGTATTTATTATGTAATACATTTTAATGTAGTTAGGAAGATATTTTTAAAAATTAGTTTGCTAGTTATAATAAAGATTAGATTTACCTTTTGGTTTGCCTATTCC